ACGCATTTGTCAGACCCAGAGAATGTACACCACCAAGAGTGAATCTTAATGTAAACTACAGATTTAATCATCAATATTGGCTCATTAATTGTAGCCAATGTACCACACTAATGCAAAATGTTAATGGGGGGGGACACTGTGTAGAGAGGTGGAAGGGGGATATCGGGAAACTCTATATTGCTCAATTTCTGTCAGCCTAAAACTGCTCTAAAAAAGTCTAATTAATTATTTGAACATATACTTACAGATTGCTTAAATATATCTTTATATTTAAATGTACATATATATGTATACACACACCCTATGATCACAATCAATAAAGAACTAAAAAACTGAGAAAAGTCTGAGGGGAACACACTAATATTTAAAGAGCTATGGATGGTGGGAGTGTTATTGACTTTTTCTTACCACTTTTCATTTTTCTCCGTTTTCTAAGTTGCTGCAATAAATGGGTATTATCTCAGTATGGAAGAATACTCTCTCTTTTTAAATTCTCTGTTGAAACCGGCTGAGCAAAAAGCAGACACACACCTCATTCAGCGGTGACCTTCTTTTTCAGCCAATGTCAAAAGTCAGGGCGCTCACTCTGCCCCTCCATTCCTCCCTCCCACTCCTCTCTCTGTGTTTACTTCCTGCCAGAGATAAATAATGAGTCAGAAGCAGGACGGGGGCGGCGGCTGCACCCAGCTCCATGACGCACCCTGCCAGGGCAAGAGCCTGTTAGTAGATCTGGGACTTCCCAAAGTTTATTTGGAAGGAACACATTACTACAGTTTAGGAACCACGGGGATGGGTCCCTAAGAGCTGGCCCCAGCAGCTTCTCATAAAATAGATCAGATCTTTTTTTTTTCTTTTTCCTGGATCTGAGAACTGCCCTTGTTTATAGAAAAATTAAATTTAAAGGACAGACCAGGGTTTGCTTTCTAACTATGAAGACCACAACACAAATATTTTCAGAAATCTGAGAGCTTGGCCATTATGCCTGAGTCTGGGCTTCGGGTAGCATCAAACCAAGCTGGATTCTAAGCCCCACCTGCCATGCTCTGTCTGTGTGACCTGGGTCAGGTTCCTTAACCTCTCTGAGCCTCAGGTTCCTCATACAGCCCCTCAGGCCATCTGCATTCAGGTACATGGTGCTGCTGGATGGGTCTTTGACTCTACCGCCTCTGCCCGCACCTGGGCTGTCCCAGGCGGGTGCTGTGGGTTCACCTTGGGATGTTCCCCGTCACCATCCCCCAAATGCAAGGGCATCCCTCACTGCTCTTCCAGCCTACCCTCGAGGGCACCAACACAGCCTTTACCTTCATCCTCTGAGCTCTTTCCTTGCCTGCATAATCCCTTGTTTAAATACTAACCAAGCACAAAGCACCTCCCCAGCTTCCTGTTCCCTGCAGGATGCATTCTCAACCCCTCTTCTGGTCTTCAAGTTCTCAATCAGGCCTCAGTTTCCCAAACTTGTTCGCAGTGAACACCCACCGGGCTCACTTCCTGCTCTGCCACAGAGAGAGCCAGTTCAGGAATTCTGCCCCTACCTGGAATGGCCTCTACAGCTGCCCCTGTAAGATTCCCCACCCCGCCAGGAGATGCTCCTGTCCAGTGCAGCCTTCCCACTGCCTTCTCTTCTGAGCCCCAACAGACATGAGCCTGTGTCATCACTCAGCCCTGGTGCAATATGGCGGTTCTCACGCATGGTCCCCAGATCGGCAAAATCAGCGTCACCTGGGCACTGGTTAGAAATGCTCGTTCTCAGGCCTCACTCCAGAATCAGACTCTCTGGAGTTGATCCCAGCCATTTGTGTTGTAACTAGCCCGGCAGGTGACCCTGATGCCAGCTCACGAGTGAGAACAGGTGGATAATGGTTCAGACTCTAGATTGTTGAGTGTCCATTCTTCCATCTGCAGTGACAAAGGTGTGAGAAATTCACGCAGGAATCTCTCAGGGTCACTCCTTGAGCAAATTCCGTCATCTCTGGAATATTGCCTGCAGCCTTTCTTGGAAGAATGAACAAGTACGGAGCGGAAGCACAGGAAATGGCCACTGCCCAACAATTTTACCCACAAAGCAGTCATTTCCTCTGGCGCAACCTGACAGCTCCACTAGCTGGGGAAAGCTTACAGGGTCAGGTCCTTGTGTTCCCAGGGTTTGAAAGGAAAGAGCTGTCCATTCCTGGTTGCTGGTTCCCTAGAAGGGGAAGGAAGGCTCCCTGGGTTGCAGGCAGGGAACCTGAACTCAGTCCGCACACAGGCATCCGTGGCAGCCGTGCTTGGGGGTGGACGTTGCTGAGCACTAAGAGGTTCAACCTGGTGTTAAGCTTCATCCCAGAAGGTTGTGCTCACCCTTTCCAGGAACCCAGGGGCTTGCACAGGGTGCGCATCAGGGAGGCGCCTCCCAGCCTCTGTCGGAAGGGGTGGGGGTCCAACACAGGGGTACGTTACAACAGCGACACCATGTGGCAGATGGTACACGAGGCAGCCGAACGGACGGGACTCTATTTGGATGAACTTACCCCTTTGAGGGATGTATGTATGCACCCTAACTTGGGTAATTCAGAGGAAGGGAGCCTCAAGGGGAAACTGAGCTTTCTGCCACTAAGGTGTAGGTGACATAGTGCTCCAAGTCTCGGTTGCCCCATCTGTTAGGTGTTGACAATCTTGAGCAAAGGGACAATCTGGGAATATGAATTTATATCTTTCTCCCCAAATTCTTCCTTTGGCCCTCCTGAGTTTTCTCTCTGGAGTCACGGCAAGTATAAAATAGAAACAATGTGAGGTCAATGGCTCCTCCAATCTTTTGTAAAAACCTGTAACACATCCTCTGAAGAGAAAATGCTCGTTGTCCAAAGTGGCCAAGGGAGGAGTTGGGCACATGCATTGGAGGATGACAGGGGAGCAGAGGAAAGGTCTTAGAAAGCGGGAACGTCTGAGAGGCTCTCCCTGTTTCCAGACCGGTTCCTCAGGTGCACGGGAGATGAGCAGAGTGCTGAAGGGAATGGCCATGGGCTCCCAGCCTCCCCGGATTCCCACGTGCCAAGTGTCATGAAAGCTGCACAGTCATCGGGCCTGGGGGCAGTGTGGCCTGGACCAGCAGGCATCTGTGTGGTGAAGGGTTTGGGGGGGACAGATGATGACCTCCATACACCAGGCCAGGGGAGGCGGTTCCGAGGCTGGCTGACATGGGCATTCCCACCAGCCTGGCAGAGGAAGGACTTACAATTGGAAATGAATTGATTTAAATAAAGTTTTATTTTGTACACATGGGGCATTTGGCCTAGTGTCTGGTGCCCGTCTGTAAAATGAACATCAAAAGCTGTTGCATCATGATTGTGGGTGCCAGGCAGGTGCCTGCCCTCTCTTCCTATAAACATCCAGACTCCAGGAGCCCAGTCAGCCCTTGACAGTTTCTGAGTAAGTTAGTCCAGGGCCCTGCACAATAGACCTTCACACATTTATTGAGGAGAAGCATTCTGGTAATTCGGAACAGGGAGTTGCATCTTTGGGCTTGCTCTTAGGAGGTACCTCTTTTATGCCCAGTTTGCATGGTAATGAGACACTATTCTTCAAGGGAAAAATGATAACTGACTAAAGCTGGGGAACAAGAAACAGACGACCACGGAGCTGCTGTTACTCTTCAGTCCAGCTGAGACACAGGCCACAAAAAATTCCCAAGCCTCTTATGACATCCAAAGCCTCACAGAGATGCAGAGAGAAGAGCTGGACCTTGGGTCTCAGCCAGCAGTAACTGCTCTTGGCTGGAATTCCAGAAAACATGAATCCATCCATTAGTTTCATGATCATCATAGCCAATTCAGACAGGCTACCTGGTCTCGTCAGAGCCAATATTAGAACCTTTGTCCAGTTACCCTGATCAAAAGTTCATGAAGTAGAAGAGGCACAGGGGTCTGGGAGGCAAAGGAAGCCCCCTTTTTTGCAGAGAATGGGGGTCAGAAGTACTGTTAAGCCATCAAGCCATATTCTGTGATTCCCTGGGCAAAAAAGAACACTGTCCCCATCTGATCACCATTTTGCTGAAGAAATCTAATGTTCATGCCAAGAGGCTGAAAGTGTCTCCCATGGAAGCCTCATAGCCGGAGCTGCCCAGGAAGTAACACCAGCCAGGCATGGAAATTCCTGCCACTAGGGATCACTCTCACCTACCCCGTGACCGAATGTAAAGTTAAAGCAAAAAATGTTGCTTAAACGCCGAAGTGAGAAGCTATGGAAAATTATTTGTTACACAAAGTTTCACTGTTGATTATCTAGGTTCAGAAGGGTTTTTCTAACAGATCTTGTGCTGAACTCACAGGCAATTATGAATTACCTCTAGTGTTCCCGGCCTGTGTCCTTTCTGGGAACTGAATGTTCATGTCTGCTGGCCCTCTGCTCGGGAATGATCCCAAAACCTTTGGTGCTGAACACTGCATGGGAAGAGCCTATTTCTTGGACTTATTATCCATATGTGGACAGTCTGGACCTGGCTGTGGGTCATAATGAGCCACTAGCCACATCCCACTGCAGTAGTGTGGCCTTTTGATTTCTGGAATCCATCCACAGTTGCCCTGGGACTGAGGGCGCTGGTCAGTTTTGTAATAGCTTTTTGTATCCTCTGGGTGACCTGCTGGTTCCCGCAAGGACCATCACACCACACTACCAACCCCAACTTAGCCATGTATTAGACACCTCTGATAAGCCCTGGGGTAGCCTTGATCTTTCTTATTTTAAGTTCTGACAGTGAAGATAAAAAAACCTAGAGTGTTGCTGGAATAGAAGCTTATAATTACAAATTTCATTCTGAGGGAGCAAAAACATATTAATTTTCCAATCATGTAGGTCTAGGCCATCACAAACAAGTCAATGGATGACTGCTTAGAACATCTCATCACTGAGGACTGTGTCATGGGTTTTGGAGTAAATTTTCCAAAGCAAATGGAACTAAGCAAATGCTGGGCAGGAAAGGTGCTGACTGGGCCATGGGCTCTCAGTTCTCTGAACCTGGCTCCTACCTGGGCACGTCTCCATGGCCAGAGCTTCCAGATTTCTCCTCCGGCTTCCTTCTGATATTCTGACTGTTCCCAGGTGGTTGCACAGATTCTGGACTCTGAGCTGATGAGGTTCTCTGAGCCAGAAAAATAGAAATTGGAAAGGAAATCAAATAGGAGTCTCTGAAAACATAAAAGCATTTATCAATGGGCCCCTGACCGCAACATTCCAAGGTCAGGTCTTTCGTTTGCTTTCCCATCCAACCGAGTCGCTACTGCGTGCTGGCACTGAGCTACACTTTGACATCAGGCGAGCAAAGCAAAGGTGGCCCCTGCTCCCATCTAATGGAGGAGAAACACATTTAAACAAAAGATTCCGGTGGAGTAGAATGACTGTTTTAGTAAGAAACCGACCGGGGACACCTTCCATACTTTGGGGGTCATCTGCTCCCTGGAGAAGGTGGGGGTATTTAACCTAAGATTTGGAGTCGAGTCTGTTTGTGGCACCACAGAGGTGAAAACACATTTTCCTGCTCCCCTCCCCCATGGTTTGGCATACCAGAATTCAGCTGGAACCCCAAAAGTAAATAAATAACTAAAACAGAAGAAAGAAAATGATGAGCCTTGGAAATGTGGGGCTAATGTTTAGGTCCTAACCACTCTGAGAGGTGCTCACCTTTCCCTTCAGTTCCACAAAAAACTCATCTGCCATTTAGTCAATTTTTAAAACCAAGATACGAAAGTATAAAGAACAGTCAAAACTTCAAACCATGGAACGGAAAGAGATGAGATGTTTTGAAAATGCAAATTTTAATGATGCGCATTCAAGTATAAGATAGACATCAGAAATGGGGAACAGGCTTTATCAACCTGAGCAATATTTTCCAAAGCAGTGGTTGTCTTTTATTTTGTCCTTCCAGGGGCACCTCTGCCCATCAGGTGTGCACAATGCTCAGGCCAAGCCAGGTCCTTCCACAGGGCTCCCCAAAGAACAAGAGGGTCAGGAATCTGGTGGGGGGTTGGCAGAAAGAGTAAGAGAGTCCAAGGCCGACTGTTCCTAGCTACTGCAGAGGACGACAGCCTGTAGCAAGGGAGACTCGACCCAGCAGGAAAGGTCCTGATGGTGTCAAGGCTTTGGCTCTGCTTGGCCCTGTGGCCCAACCTACTCTGCCCTCTCTATCCGGCAGTGGCATGAAATCCTGATTCCCTGCTTGCCTTAGCCAGAACAAGCTGGATTTCTGTCACTTGCAACCAAAAAAGTACATCCCATAGGTGACCAGCCTAGCTTTGAAGGAAACAAAGCGTCCTATGGTCAAATAAATGTAAGAAGCACTACATTATGTAGATCTCTCTTAGAAATTCACAGTGCACATTCAAATACTAAAGGGTTTGAGAAGTTCTGTGGTAAGATGACATATTGGACTTTAGTTCAGTTCCCAAAGTTGCCTGACCACAGGACCCTTTGTTCATACCTCACAGAACTAGTGCTCCAGGAAACACGCTTTAGAGGACAGTTAGCACAAAGACCTCATTTCTTTCCAGCTCATTTAAATTTGTCATGTGATCCACAGAACATGGCAGCCCCCAGTCTGTGAGCACCTTTGTGAACTCTGGAAGGTGGCCCTGCTCTGGGAAGGTGCGTGGCTTGTGAGCAGACAGCGCCTTCCTGTGAACTAGATGGCTTCCCTTTCTTCCAGTGAATGCTCTCAGACCTCAGCATGTGGCTTGCTGGGTGCTTGGGAGAGACCAAGCTCCTCGGCTCCCAGCTCCTGTCCTTGGGGATGCCTCAGTCTGGTGGGGAATGTGGTGGAGGTGGGCACCTGAAGACAGGCAAGAAGAGCTCCTGTGGGCTGTACGGGCCTCCCCATGACTGTCCGTCCTTGTTCTGGAAATTTCTCTCCACTTGGAACACTGCTCCACCTCCTGACCCCAGAGAGACACCCAGCCTGACCCTGCCCAGCAAATGGGGCAACTGGAGATGTAAAAGGCCTCTCATCAAACCATCAGTTCACACCAGTTGTGACTACAGACCCGGGTGCGGCCAAATTCTTTTGTAAATATCTCTTTTCAGGGGGCATTACGATTAACATGTACAGTGGGGTGGGGGGGGCGCACACGGGGAGGGCTGCGCAACACAGAGAAGACAAGTAGTGATTTTACAGCATCTTACTATGTTGATGGACAGTGACTGTGAACAGGTATGTGGGGAGGACTTGGTGAAGGGGGGAGCCTAGTAAACATAATGTCCTTCATTTAATTGTAGATTAATGATACCAAAATAAAATTAATTTAAAAAAATATCTCTTTTCACCCAGACCGTCCAAAAAGTAATGCTTCCTTTATCGATTTGTTGATTCATTCAATCATCTAAGAAAGATTCATCTTAAGCCTCCGTGCCAGAGTGAGCGCTAGAAATGGGGCTACGAAAGTGAAGGAGATTCCACTTCTTTCCTCAAGTTGCTCACAGTCTAGACAGACAGACTCCAGTGCTGTGACCACAGAGGTGCAAACGCAAGGTAGCCAAGGGGGAGACTGAGGCTCTACACCCACTGACCTCCGTCAACCTCTAGGCTGCTGTAAATTAATTTTGAAGCTTCTGTGGAATGTTTGGGTGCAAATCATCTGCCCAATCTGAACCTGGGGGTCTTCTTGAGCCCTGAGACTTCTGCTGCATAGGCCGTCGAACTTGACCTCCCGACGCAGACTGAAGAGCAGGGTAGCTGCGGCTGTGTTTCTCCCACCTGGTGCATTCCTCTGAGCCATGTTCACCCCGTTGTTTCCCAAGGGAAGATATAAAAGTTGCTACAACTCTCAGATGTTCATATATTCCAATGCTAACACAATACCACAATTAGAGATACTACAGTTATTTTTGCTGAGACAGTATGTGGAGGGAAATAACACAGTGATAGCAACAGCTTCTGTGTATTGAACACTTCCTAAGTTCCAGGTCCTAGGCCAGTAGCTTTCCATGAACTGGGTCACCGGGTCTTCAGCCTTATGAGAGAGATGCTATTCACGTCTTGTTTCAGAGCTGAGGCTTTGGAAGGGTAAGCATTTGGCCAAGATCACACAGCAGTGGAGTCTGGAGGGACCCGTTTCCCTCTGGTCCCAGAGCCAGGAAAAAGCGTTTCTGTTTGATCCCTTTAATGGGGAAGTGTTAGAGGCAACAGAGAGGCTGGGGCAGATTCCTCACTAGAAGCAGGGCTTGAGACCCTGAGTGGCTTGACCTCTGCTGGCCAAACTGTTCCCTGTAGCCAGAGCCCCTGCGCTGGCCTGCGGGCCACAAGCTGCGATCTGTGAATCCAGGGGCACCGTCGTCCCTGCAGGACAGCATCAAGGCGCTACAAACTTTAAATCACCGCAGATTCGAACTCCAAAGTGCTCCTGACTCTTCTAAGGAAGGTTCTTTTCTTTATTTATGTAATACTACTACCATTGGGTGCCTGATTCAGAAATTTACTATGATCACTCAAAAATCACAATATAGAGTGTCATTTTTATATCAGGGTCCTCAATTTTTTACATTATAACCCAATTCCTACATGTCTGACTGTCATGCAGGCTTCAACTGCAAACATCATCTGCTGCCAGGCTTCCTTTTCAATCACCACATCATTAAGAGGGAGTAATTCTGCAAATAACTTAACAGATAAATCTCCTGCTCTTTATTCCGTGATCAAGGTTACTGTAAAGTAATTCTGGGAAGACATTGGCATGTCTGACAGCCCAGACAGATGCAAACAACAGATGGAATAAGGAGACAGGTCTTTGCTGACTAAAGAAGAAAGGAGCGTGTGCTACATTTCCTCAGGCAAAGCAACTATAACAAGGGCTTAGACTTGTCTTTGAAGAAGAAAAAAGGGGTAGGCCTTTCCCCCTTGTCAGCCCCACCCCTCCTCCTTATAGAAAGCTAATCTGCAACAATACCAGCTCTCTCCAGCAAAAACATTCTGGGAGGAGTTTATAAAATAAAGTCAGTAGTATTATCCACGGGAATGGCACATTGCACTTTTCAAAGGCTTTGACATCCATCGGATTCTTACAAGATCCCTGTACACTAAACAGGCAGGTAAAATATCGTTTTCCATTTCCAGATGAGAAACAGAGCAGTAAATGGCTTGGCCAGGTCTTCTTCCAGAAGTCCAGTGCTCTTTCCACAGTAATGCCAACAGAGCACTTTTTCTACTCTAACAATAACAGCAAACTTTTACTATAAACACTTTGTATATGCCAAGTACTGTTCTTATAAGTGCTTCACATATTTAAATTCATTCCATCTTCGCAAAAATCCTATTTCACAAATAAGAACACCTAGCTCAGAGAGGTAAAGCCACTTGCACAAGGTCACACAGCTTGAAGTGGTAGATCCAAGACTTGGCCCCCAGTGGTTTGGGTCCAGAGCCTGGGCTCTTGACCCATCTATGCTGCCTCACTAAACAGTGAAAATCGTTGCCTATGATCTCTGCCATCTTCCTGCCATGCTCCAAGTAACTAAAACAACTGGACATTTATGAATAATATAGCACAGGGACCTCGATTCAGTGCCCAGAAAAGCTCCTGGCACAGAGAGGCACTTCATAAATATTTCTTGCAAGTATGAAAAATAGATTATTGCATTTAGTCTGGTAGCCACTTCTGCAAATCGGGGCGAGCACACGCAGCCCTCTGAGCTCTTGCTTTTGCTACGTTTCCTACAGTGTCTCTGAGCCCTGCTTCCAATTTCTCCAGCCTAGCGACAGTAGTAAGTAAGCCCTGTTGCTTACCGGAATCCAAGGGGCCTGTGTTTCAACAGGTGTCACTGCAAAGCCGCATGCATTTCTAAAGTGACCCCCTTCCGCTTCCAAACAGCAGGCTGGAAAAAAATATTGGCAATCCTCCCAGGACAAACCACCTTGTCAGGCTGCTTCCTCAAATCCTTCCTTTGCTGCCATTGCTTGAGTAAACAACGACCTTTGTTTGACTCTGGAATTCTCCAGAGCTCTGGGTCTATTTTAAAGCAATCTTCAAACAGTTACAGCAACCTTCTCATCCTGAAAAATATGCTTCATCAAGAGCTAAGGTTGTTTCACCATTAAAAATAAAATTCCCCTGACCTTACCTCTTAAATGTGCTCCATCTCTCTAGAACCTGGCTT